CTGCTGTACTTGTCGCGTAGCAGTCCAGTTTGATGCCATTGTTGAAAAGTGTTACCGGCATAAACTGCAACTGATTTTTGATGTTGCTTTTTTGATTTCTGCTGTTGCTCATATTTCAGATTGGATCCCTAGCCTGCTTCGATGTTTTGATAACTGTAGTTCCAAGCTGCATGTCGTTTGGTTTTTGGTTGTACGTAAAGAATTGCTTTTTGCCGCAGTGTGGAGTTGACTGGTGTTTCTCTACGCAGTTGTTGATGAATCATCGCATGGCCGAATTACCACCACCAAAACTGTGTTAGTCTAAGCAACTGAAGCACAAATTATTTTTTTTCAGCATCTCTCTACATTAATTTTCCAATATAGTCCGCCTGGTTACTTTTTGGTATGCTAAAATTATTACCGTCAATGAAATACCTGAAGATCTACCGTAGTATTGCCCGAACATTGAAGTAAAATAGGTTGAGTTGAGTGTCGGATATTTCTAGCTTTTTCAACAGAAGAACTTGTCCCGCTTCGTTAGAAGTCGATGGTTCCAATATCGTGGTTCTATTCGAGTTATTATTCAGGTTTTGTTTCAAATTTTTGATAATATGGTTTTCGAGGTCGTGCGGCACGCCGCGTTCTTCCCATTTTTGGGAGCTTTGAGCAAACAAGTCGGGTTAGGGGTTAGGTTACTAGACATTGGTCAGCTGTGAGGCCGTTGATTTCGAAGGTTTGAATTAGTTTCCAGATCAATGCAGCGTATATGATAAAAACCTGTTGTTCGCTCAAATTTTTCCCGGATGAAGGCTGGCACCTTATAAATATGAATACCGTATGTACGCAAAACTTCAAGTAGCGCCTGCTCGTACTGGAAAGAATTGATGACATAGCTCTCTATCAGGGGTTCAGAACTACCAGTAAAAAAATGAAATTAAGTAAGTAAATTTTTAAACAGCGCTTAGACTTGATTTTTTACCTCTTGCAGTCTAATCTAGTGGGGTGCCGTCAAACTTCAGTTTTATATCCGGTAACTTGAATCCTTTAAAATTTCAGTTTCTGATAGTAGTCGGCTGGTTGGTAACGTAACTGCTGGCTGCGAAAATTCAAAGAGTACAAGTTTGCTGCGGGCGAAACTCAACTGGAATCAATGGCTGAAGTAGTGGTCAAATCGTTGATCGCTTCATCTGTAGCTCCTTAAAATAATATTGGAGTTGGAAAACTTCAGCGTTGAGGAGCATCTAATCAGATGAGTTTCAGATCTGTCCTGCTCTCTGAGTGGGCTGCTTGATCTTGTGGAAATGAAGCCTTCAAAGTCGAGGCATTCTTGTGCTTCTTGAGTAGAAAACACGGCCAAATCATCTGCGCGTTTAATGATCAGATTGACACATGTAGTTACCTTAAAAATGTATTATAACTTTCTTAAGTTTCAACTATCAGAAAAAATTATTTTTCATTTTTTGAGGTCCATCAGCTATACGACTAACCTGGTGCTTAAGTAGATAAAGTTAGCTACAGCTCACTCGTTCATGAGCGCTTTGAATTCTCTTCACGGATAAGGTGATGAAATTTTTCTGAAACTTTTTGAAACTCAAATACATTTGAAAACTTGAGATTTACTAATTTTATGTATGTACATGCTAGGACTTCGCCAATAAAATTAGTGTTTTTTAACTTTTGGGTTAGGGAAAACCTTGCGGAAAAGGTTGGGTTTTAAAGCTTTAAAGCAAAAAAGGTGGGCTAAAAGTTTCTGGCTATCGGGTTTTGGCTATCATTTTTTTTGTATAAGTAAGAACCTGTTTTTTTGGCTAAGTATTACCTTTAAAACCCGAGGGTTTTCAATAAACTGACCAGATGAACATTAACAATTCATATCTGAGGTTGCACATGTTTTTTTTTTATTTCTAACAAAAAGCAGCAAAATTTTTTTGCATTTCTGTTTTTAAAATATTAATACCATTTGGGTTTTGAACATGAGAACGACGAGAACTTGTTTGGTTGTGGTAGTTACTAAAAAGTTTGGATCATGCCGGCATTTTAAAGTTGCGGTCAAACATCAGGATGTATTGACAATGTCCTTCAAAAGGTTGAAAGTCTTGCAATGGACTGTATCTTTGCAAAGTAGACCTTTTTGTAGATCAGTGTCGAGGGGAAACGGGTAGCTGATTCAGTAGCGTGCGTCCTAATGATAATTTTTTACAAGTTGCATCATAATTGAACAAAATAAAAAGATTGGAGACGTAGTTCAAACATAAGTTCATAGTAATCTATACAAACTTAAAATGATTCCAAGAGACTTTTCCATAGGTTGCCACTGATGAATCTTCCTTCGGTAGCAATATTATGGTGGGGGGGTTCATTGGTTGAACGGGGGGGGGGTTGTTGTTTAATTGATGAAAAGATGCAGAGGATGGTTGAACAGGGTGGCGCGTGTGACTCAAAATATACTCTATCACCTGTTTTTAACCCCCCTCTCATATAAGCCGCACATCAGTCCCCTGCACATCAGGGCTGCGCATATTCAGCAAATCACTCGACCAAAGCCGCACATCAGGGCTGCGTATATTCAGTAAACACTCGACCAAATTAGCTGAAATAAATAACAAGAGGGCATGTTTCAGTACTTATTTTGAATTTAAAGCCATAATTTGCCTTGTACTTTAACCAAATAAGCTCTCGAGTGATCAGCCAATGGAAAGTGTTCAATTCGTTTCATTTGCTAAGTTAACCTTGGATGGACAAAAATGAGTTCATTAAAAAGACACGGTTTTTCTTTTATTTTTTTGTTTTTTAGGGTTGACTGTTTATGAATCAGTTTATCGTATTTTTTTCGATTGTTGGTGCCTAAACAATAATACAAAATCTGTATTATATCATTCTTGAGTTTTAAAATACATGAATGGAAAAATTACCCCAAACATTTTAGAGAGAAGTTGAAACCAAAAGTAATACCATATCCGCTTTGACCACTATACACAAAAAATGCTCATCTTACAATTTGATACATTTTTTTTTCAATTCTGTTTTCCAAAAATTGTGAAAATATTCTTAAGAAACCCTAATCCTAACCTAACCCTAACCCCAACCAACCCCGAGTCATTTTCGGAGAAGAAGAACTGTGTGGCTCCGACCTTCGAGATCTCAATTTTACTCGTCGTAAGCTAACAATTTGTGACGATTAAAACTGAGCAAACAAAAAACCTGGTTTTAAAACCTCGTTTTGATGAGCAAGGTGTTTTAAATTGAGCAAAAGCACTCTTAATTACTTTAACTTTGATTAAAAATAAGTTTTAACATTATTCTGAACATCTTGCCTTTTATGAAAAAATGGTTAACATACAATTTTCATATATGCAAATTGTATGATAACTATTTTTTTAGCTTCAAATTAAAATTTAGTTTTTGATGAGCAATGTCCTTTAAATTGAGCAAAAGCACTCTTAAATAATTTAAATTTGTTTATAAACAAGTTTGAACCATTTCTGAAAATCTTGCCTTTCATGAAAAAATGGTTATCATACAATTTTCATATATGGAAATTGTATGATAACCATTTTTTTTCAACAAAAAATAAACGCAGTTATTTTTCATCACCAGACTGTTGTATTTGGTTCAAATAGCCGGAGAAACTAGATTGAATCTTTTTTCAATGGTTTTTTGAAATTGTATGAAAATTGTATGAGTAGCGTTTTTCCATACATTTGATGCAGGCAATTGTATGATGAGCTTTTTCGGTGTGGGTAAATTTCAATTTCATTTCAATAAAGGTTGTCTCTTTGCAGTAAAATTGAAATTTTTCAAAAATTTTTAAGAGTCTCCGAGTAGAATGAAGAAGATTGAGTGTACATTTGTTTGTAAATTATTTTTTTTCTGATTTGGCTGAAGTTGGATACGCAGAAAAAAGCAGGGAAGGCGGCGGAGGACATTGACAAGGTCCGAAATTTCGATTTTGAGAAAAATTCAAGGTTTCGAGAGAAAAACACACTGTGAGATAGGATTCCTCATAACCTCAAAAATTTCTGCATTGTTTTAAACTGCATTGTTTTAAATTAAGGGCCCCTGAGTCTTCTTCCGAAACCCTCTTTCATGAATTGGAGAAAAAATTGATATTCTTTTAGATATTTCCAACGAAGTCTCTGAAATAGGTTTGAAATATTATAATTTTTTGTAGGTTTAAGCATGTTTTGGAAGTTTAAGCAAATAATCTTGCCGAATGTCATCAGTTTTAAGTTTTGTATTGGTAAAGGCATCTGCTCGCAACATGTACCTGTTCATACTTGTACTTAAGCAAAATGAAATAGCATAGAAAAACAGCAGCAATAAAACCAGCAAATACTTCTCGGTATTCTCTTTTATTAAAAAGAGTTCCAATGCAACAGGCCATGAATTCAAGTTGATATAAACGTACAGAATTGAATTTCTGAGTTCAAATTAAATCGTCTGGATTGAATGATAAATTCCAGCTGGACAAAATTAGGCGGAAATTTAGGATTTTACACTGTCAAAGGCCTGTTTTTAAGGTACATTTTGGACAACAATTCCCTCAAAACTCAGTAAAAAATTTTAATTTGACCGAGAGTAAATGATCAGAGCTACCAACAGAGAAAGTCTCAATTTTGGTTTCAATGTCGTACCAATGTAATCCGAGTCTGAAAATGCTGGTTTTTCTCACCTTTACTCCTCCTCTTTTAATACCATATCCGCTTTGACCACTATACACAAAAAATGCTCATCTTACAATTTAATACACGGATTGAATGGAAAAAATGTGTATAATTACCTGTTTATTCAAAAACCTCCTTGCGGCCAAAATTTAGCAACTTTAGTGTTCTGGGAGCGCTCAGAAAATGTATTTGTTCAAATTTTTATTTCTATAATGACTCAAAAAGTTGCTTTTATGATTTATTTTCAATTGCTTATATAAAAGCCTAAAATTGCTGATATAAATGCCTAAATGCCGAAGATTGATTGATAAATAAATGCATCGACACTTAAACTGACTTTCATTAGAACTACTTATATCAAACACACGTTTGAGATTGGTAGAACTCGTCTGCAAGGTTTTTAATTGTTTCAGACTCTCGCAACTTCTCTGATTTAGCTTTTTTCCAATCGAAAACCCTCTGACAAACTTTACAGCGAGTGTTGTATTTGTGAGTCATATCGTCAAATACGCCAAAAACCCGAAAATTTTGTCTCCATTCAAAATACTCCAAATATGCGGTTTCATTGCCAAGAAGATATGTCAAATATGATACCAGATGAGATGAATTTTGGAAATCGGAAACATGAATGAAAGATCTGGGAAGCATATTTTCGTAGCTGTCTCTCCAACCATTGACAATTGGTATTGCGTAACTGATGAGAGCATTGCTAAATTTCTCAGTTACGTAATCTGAACAATTTGCATTTTCAAACGCGAAATAAAACTTACATTTTTTGATATTTTCAATTGTAGTTTCTTCGAATTTTTTGGTCTGTCCATGGTCGATTATTTTTGATTTATTTGCTTCTGGCATACATTTTTGTGCTGCAGAACCCCATAGGTGAATTGGCTCGTGCAAATTGTTTATGATCGACGACATCGTCTCAAATCTGGCATTGTAAACATGACATTGCGATACCATCCAACAAAAAGCCTTGTCCTTTTGGAGTTTTTGGTACGTTTGATTTATTTCTCTCATTTCAAGTTTATTGATTTGCTTTTCTATGTAAACGTACGGATCATAAAAAGTAGATTTTCGTGACATCCCAGAGGTCCAGTTGAATAAAGTTAAAAACGGTGATTTCTGGTCAAAATCAAGGAAACTTTTGGCAGACTCCACGCTTTTTGCTATCCAAAGTTGCTTTGGATCTCGTTTTGGTTGTTTAGATCCCAAGAATGTTTGGAATCTGGCTAGCGCAAATCTTCCGAATACAAATATTGCGCCGTAAAAAGAGCTGTTTGCGAGTTCTTTGTGTCCATCGTTTGTTAAAATGCAGTCGAAGTTTAATTTGCAAATACTGGTTATATTTATTTTTAATTTTTGTAGCGTATACTGGAAGTCAAGTATATTCACAGTAGAGTTTGAGCTATTTGGGTAAAACTTGGAAGAAACCCAACCAACTGCAGTTTCTTTTGGGTTTCGGCTGATAGTGTTCCCGTGCTGAAAAATGTATCGATTTTTTTCGGTATCAAATTTTTTTTCGTATAATATAAAATAAAACCTTACTTTACAGAAGCAAAATTCCCACGCGATAAGGTATGTAGATCTTTAATCAATTAACACCTCGAAAAATGTGCAAAAATTACAATTATTTGAATTTAGGCAGGGGCGGATGGATCTAGGATTTTCTCGAGGGGGGGCAGATTTTCAAAATATTTTCCAAAATTTTGAAGACCTTTTTTTTTAGGTCGACCAAATTGATTTTTCGAGCTCTTCCAAAGCACTGTTTTGCCCCTATTTTGGCTAATTTTTCTGCGCCGCAGTCAAAAAAGACGTTTTTGGGCACTTTTTGAAAAATTTTGACAAAAAAATCGCGTTTTTTTTTGGCGCGTGCTCCCCCTCAAAGTTAGTATATATTGGCGCCCAAGGCGCCTTTAGAAAAATTTTAGGGTCGGTCGGCCAAAAATGGATTTCTGAAAAAGTATCGAAGGGGGGACCCTTTGGGTCGGCAGGGGTCGAATCCCTAAGGGGGGGCGGGGGGGCGGACGATTTTAGGAGATAAAGCGCTTCACAATTTTCGTATAAAACATATTAAAAAAACTGTCTGAAAAAATATGAACTGTCTTAGCTACTTTTTATTTGTGGAAGCTATCAGAATGGTTTGATTGGTTTGGTTTGCATTAAAACTTCCCTTTTTTGTTGCATCGTAAAAAATAACTGCAAAAATCATATCATATTTAGCTGACAATAAAACATCAGAAATGCGAAAAAAAAAAACATTCTTTCATTCTTCGTTTTCTCTTAAGGGCTTTCTGCAATTCATGCCCGATGACTGTAATTCTTCGTAATAATGAAGGCTGCCCCTTTTCAGAAAAACTACAACTTTTCTGAAACTTTTAAGAGCCCCCGAGTAGAATGAAGTTAGCTCTTTCCTATCTCTTACTTAATTTGAAATAAATTATTGTACATTTGTTTGTAAATTATTATACTCTGATTTGGCTGAAATTGGAAACGCAGGAGAAAGAAGAGAAGGGGGTGTAGGACATTGGCAAGGTCTAAAATTTTCGGTTTTGAGAAAAATTTAGGGTTTCGAGAGAAAAACACACTGTGAGATAGGGTTCCTCATATCCTTAAAAATATTCAAAGACAGCTCTCAAATAAGCAAACAAAAAAAACAAAAAGATTTCGTTTACCTCAGATTTATGTTGTTATTTTTTTGCGACGGTTTTTTGAATGGTTGAAGTAAAAGCCAAAACACCGAAACTGCATTGTTTTAAATTAAGGGCCCCAGAGTCTTCTTTCGGAAACCCTCTTTCATGAATTGGAGAAAAAATCAATATTCTCTAAAATTTTTCCCATAAAATCTCAGAAATAGAATTGAAATCTCATGAATTTTTGGAAGCTTAAGCAAGTCAGAATACTAAACAATGTGATCAGTTTCGCCGAATGTCATCAGTTTTAAAGTTTGTATTGGTAAAGGCATGGGCTTGCAACACGTACCTGTTCATACTTGTAATTAAGCAAAACAAAATAGCATAGAAAAACAGCAGCAATAAAACCAGCAAATAATTTTCGGTATTCTCTTTTCTTAAGAGGAGTGCCAATGCCACAGGCCATGAATTCAAGATGATATCAATGAACAGAATTGAATTTCGTCTGGATTGAATGATAATTTTACAACTGGAGAAAATTAAGCGCAAATTCAGGACTTTGCTCTGTCAAAGGCCTGTTTTCAATGTAAGTTTCGGACAACATTTCCTTCGAAACTCAGTAAAAAAATTTAGTTTTACCGAGAGTAAATGATCACAGCTACCATCAGAGAAAGTATCAAATTTGGTTTCAATGTCTTACCAACGTAATCCGGGTCTGAAAATGCTGATTTTTCTCACCTTCACTAAATTTTTTACTTCAAGTGAATTATTAACGAATGTCTGATTTTAGTTCAAAAAATATTCACACTGATTGTTTCCTTTTTCCCGCTGAAAAAATTTTTTATTCTGTTTATTCAAGAAAGGTTTCACTAAGATACAAAACTTAATACAGATGAGAAAAACTGGCCTTTTCAGACCCGGACTACATTGGTAAGTCAGAGAAACCAAATATTGATACTTTCACTGATGGTAGTTCTGATCATTTGCTCTGGCTGAAAGTAAAAGTTTTACTGAATTTCGAAGGAAATGATGTCCAAATTGTACATTAAAAATAGGCATTTTACAGATGAAATCTAGAAATTGCGCTTAATTTTGCCCACTATTGTAGGATTTTAAACAGCAATCTACACAGTTGCCAGTGCGTTCAGTTTTTGTGTAAAATCTTAAGTATCATATAGTAGACAGGCAATAGCTAAAAAATGTATCGAAAAATTAAGTGCATAAATTGAGAAATGCGGTGTCGAGATGTGAACGAGCCTGGAGATGCAATGTAAGCTGTTGCTCATCTGTTACACAACACATATGAGAAGATTGACCAAAAACACACATTTGAAACAGTTTCCTAGGGAACACGCATTTTTTCCTATTTTGTTTGTGTGGTTCCAGGTAAACATTTGCTCTAGTATTTTCAATATTGCACTAGTTTTTAAAATATTACACTAGTGTTTCAAAGATTACACTAGTTTTTTCAAATAATGCACTAGTTTTTCAAAAATGGCACGGAAACATACTAAGCACGAGTGTTTTATGGCTAAAAAAGAATCAGGCGTGCCTCATTAACAAGTACGTGTTCAGTATGTTTCCGTGCCTTATTTTAAAAATTCGTGCAATATTCGAAACAGTTGGGCAATATTTGAAAAACTATTGCTTCATTATTCCTAGAACAATAACTTAAACCCTTCAGAAAAAAATGGTGGAGTCGAGGAAAAATTTTCAAATGAGTGCATATTGTTTTTTTTTCAGATGTGTTTCATACAAATAAGTAACAGCTTACATTGCATCTCAAAAATTGTTCACATCACGGCATTTCGTGTCTCGGTATATTCCAAAAACTTGTCGATGAAAAACTTAGCTGTTGCGTATCTACACGAGTGGACTAATTTCAGAGCAAAATAAGGTTTTGACTAAACCTAAGGACAAACTACCGCAAATTCAAGTTTACTCCGTAAAATGCCTGATCTCAACTTCTGTTTTGGACAATGTTTTCTTCGAACTTCAGCAAACTTCTTAAACAGACCGAAAGAAAATCACCAGAACTACCATCTATGAAACCATCAATAAACGATTTAAAGACTTACCGTTGTAATTTGAGTCTGAAAATGATAATTCTCTTCATCTGCGAAAATTAGGATTCAAATTTCTGTTCAATCCGCGAAAAAAATTGGTAACAGACGATTTAAGTAAATATTTCACACTAGTTTTTTCATTTTTTTTGCTTTAAAATGCTTCACATCGCAAGAAAAACTGTTTTACTACGCCTATCTAACATAGAAAACTCTACGTTTCAAGAGTTAAGGCAGATGCCGAAAACTGTATTTTTTTCAGACCCGAGTTATTTTTTTTTGAAACCAAAAGTTAATAGTTTCATAGATGGTAACTTTGATCAATCGCTCTTGGCCTATGTAAAAATTTTGCTGAAAAACTAAATAAGTGTTGTCCAAAATGAATCATACAAAGAGTAAAAACCCAAACTTACGCTTAATTTTTTCCACAGTGTAGATCCGGAAACAAATGTAAGTCTTTTCGGCTCTGTAAGATATGTAGTTACATTAAAGGAAATTTGGATACTTTCATAGAGAGTAGCCTTGGTCTTTTATTATCACCGGTCAGCGTTAAGTTTTTCTTTGATGTCAAAGTAAATTTTGTTCCTTAATAATCATTGAGAAAAGACATAACGCAAAGAAGAAACTGAACTTACAAAAATTTGATTGTTTTGTGTTCCTTCAAGTAAAATATGCAAAAGTTAATGTACAAGCACCAGTTTTTTTAATCTTACAAACGAGTTTCAAATTATTCTGTAAATTTTAAGCGCTGCAATTATGAGAAAACATGAGCTCAGGAATTTTGCCGCAATTCAAAGTTTCTACGTATAATGCATCGACAAGCATGAACCTCTTTTTTCGACTATTCACATACATTAGACGCGGTCTGAAAATTTTACGGATAAATTGAGTTTTATCTTAGCTAACGTTTTTTTCAAAGTTTGATGAAATTTGTCAATATTTCGAATATCATCCAAATTTTTTCGTTGTGCAAACATTCAAATTGAACAAAAAAATGAAGATCAAGGTAGGATCCTGCTGAATGCGAGTTATCGACAGCAGATCTTCTTTTCTAGAAATATTCCAAAATTTTTCCATCAATACATCTTTAGATTAGTAGGATGATAACACACCCAGGAAAATACGGCCTGTAGACACAGTAAATTTTAGATTTTTTAGTTGACATCAATTTTTGTGGCTGCTTTCTTCTGCATTTTGTTATAATATTTTTAACCAAAAGATGCATTGATGGATTAATATTGATTATTTCCAAAGAAGGGAGATATGCTGTCGGTAACTCGCATTTAGCAGTATTTTACCTTGAGATTCAATTTAGGAGTTATTTAAAAGTTCTAAGAAAGATAATGCACTACTGTTTCAAACATTGCACTAGTTTTCCAAATATGGCACGGAAACAAAATGAACACAATAAATCAAATAAAATAATCGTGTTCAGTATGTTTACGTGCCACATTTGAAAAGTAGTGCAATATTTGAAAAACAGGTGTAATCTTTGAAAGACTAGTGTAATATGTGAAAACTAGTGCACTATTGGAGTTACTAGAACAATGAAAACAAACAAAACAGAAAGAAAGTTAAAAAAAATCAAAACTACCAAGGAATGAAATTTTATCGTTTTTTAAAAACTAAATCAATGGTTGAGTTTCATCTAGAACATGCTTTAAGAATTCAATGATTTCTTTCAAAAAGTTACTCATGTCTATGTTAATATATTCAGCAGGTTAATCGAATTTTATTTTTCTTGAGTTATATCTAACAAATAATTTGCTAATAAAACTATAGTGATACCATATATAAAACAACCTAGAAAAAACATTTGCAGAACAACCGAAAATCTTTTTTTTTAATGTGAGCTCACTTAAGATATCAAGGAGTGTTTTATTGAAAACCCAACGATGACCATTGTAGTGATGCTGACGGCCGACGTTTTAAGAGTCTTGAAATGTGAACTCGAATGGTTCTGGCTACAGTTCAATTGATCTGACTGTAAGAGCTTTCATTCTAATTTTATTCAGAGGAACGTATCTATTGAGCTTGTCAATCATGATAAAAAGGACACAGCAAAGTCTTCTGTTGGTTGGCGAAAATTCAAGTTTGTCTGAATGAGGAAAAGAATTCGCCCGAGGCTATTTTAAGAAATAAAAACAACCAATTCAAAGTAAACACAATACTGCTCGTATGAGGGCGAAGCCCTGAATGTTCCGACTAAAGTTTATGGAGCAGTAATAACTTTAAAAAATTAAATGTAGAAAAAATGAATTTTTTTTTTAAGTTTTAGATTTTCGTGTCTGTACAAAACAGTCCCATACAAAACAGTCCAATACAAAACAGTCCGGAAAAATATGAAAATGAACAAAAAAAAACAGTTCGATATGTTAAGATTCAGAGTTAGAGCAAGTAGGACTAGGGGATAGAGGTTTGAGAGTTATCTGAGGTTTCAACTGAGGAGAGAGAAGAGATACTGATTGTTGAAGAATGAATTGAGATTGTGTTTTTAAAATGACACGACAAACTGAGCATCAAATAGTACCAGTTAATTAATTACCAGTTAATTAATTAGTTTATCAAATACCAGCAGACCAGTTGACCTTGTCTGAGTGCATTGAGTTTTATACCAGTTGACCTTTAATTAGGTTTCTATTGCTCAAGTCTGACCTTGAGTTTGGTCTGGTATTTCACTAGTCTGGCATTGAGCTCGTCTGTCCTCAACACCCCCACTCAGGCTGAATTGGCTTTGTCCAATGTCAGGCTGCAACCCATCAGCGTTCGACGATGTTGATCCACCTTTGCCTTGCTCAGGGATTTCGTCAACAAGTCAGCCTCCATGTTTTCGGTTGACAGTACTCGAGCGCAAATGTTCCATCCTCGACCCGCTCTCGGACAAAGTGATACTTGACATCAATGTGCTTTGTACACTTCTGCATTACGGGATTTTTGCAAATCTTGATGCAGCTCTGGTTGTCCTCGTTGATCACAGTTGGACCATCACACGTCATATCCATCTCATTGAGTAGGGATCGTAAGTAGAGGCCTTCCTGAACAGCCGCTGCCATTGCTTGATACTCAGCTTCGCTGGTAGATATTGCTGCAGTAGGTTGCTTCTTGGTACTCCAGCTGATTGCTGCTCCTGACATGAAAACTGTAGCCTGTTGTTGACCTTCTGTCATCAACGTCACCAGCCCAGTCAGCATCTGCTGAACCATAAAGGTTGAACCCATCAGGATCTTTGATGTAGCACAGCTCCAGATCTTTGGTTCCTTTCAGGTATCGCAGTACTCTCTTAGCAGCCACCCAGTGTGTTCTCCCAGGATTCTCCAGAAACCGTGAAAGTTGAGTCACAGTAGCTAGGATGTCTGGCCTCGTTTGCTTGGCTATGTACAATAACGAGCCCACTATGCCTCTGTAGTCCTCACGCTGCATTGCCACTGCTTCTTAACTAACTAACTTAAGTTTAGCAAAATTCTGAAAAAATGAAAACAACAAAAAGATTTGAATAAACAGATTATAATCCATTATAATCGATTTAAATGGATTATTTTTCTTTTGATAATTTTTTTTGAAAATAATCGATTATAATCGATTATAATCGATTATATTGGGATTTTATTGCTTAAAAAATACTATCATTATAATCCATTTTCAATCGATTATAATCATTTATTTTTGTTATTTTGTAGAGACTGACAATGAAAATCCAATATAATCGATTATTATCCATGAAACTTCAGTGCGGGTAAGAACATGTAGAGTGAGCGAAAAAATTGTCGGTAGCATTCAGATAACTTGTGACTGCTCTGGGAGGATGAAGACAAATAGAAAGTTAGCCCATTGCCATCAAATCAATTTTTTGGGGCAAGCAAAAGAAGTACAACAAGCCGCTTTCTTTCGCCCTTACATTGTTTCACTAAAGCGGTTTCTTAACATATTCCTAAATATTTGTCAGAAGAATTTAAAGATTTGCTTGGCTATGTACAATAACGAGCCCACTATGCCTCTGTAGTCCTCACGCTGCATTGCCACTGCTTCTTCTGAGCCCGCTCCAGGGCAGTCCTTCTTCGTCAACTGAGTGCTGATATCAGCTGGTGTCCCTACTGGTTTGCAGTCAGCCAACCCAAAGCGCTCCAAGCAGTCTTCAATGTAGCGAGACTGATTCACAGTAACAGAACCAGGTGCCCGTTTGACCTGCATTTTCAAAAACCAGGCTAATGGACCGCGATCATCCATCTTGAATCGGTCAGTGAATCGGTCCCTCACCCTGTCAACTTCTGCTTGCAGTTTGCAGCCAATGATGATATCATCCACCCATACTAGAACATAGATCATAGCATCATCCATTCCCCTCATCGTGAACAAACAGAAGTCATTGGTGCTTCGAGTGAAACCAGTCTCCAGAAGAAACGTGCTCAGCGTCTGGTACCAGTCCCTTCCTGCCTGCTTCAGCCCATAGATACTGCGTTGTAGCAAACACACTTGGTTGTCCCCGCTGCTGAACCCCTCGGGCTGTTCCATATACACAGTTTCTGTTAACGGCGAGTTGAGGAAGGCTGACTTCACGTCCATCTGATGAAGTACAAGATCATCTTGCGCTCCCAAAGCCAGTAGTATTCTCTTTGTTTCTGGTTTACAGGTTGGCGCAAAGGTCTCATTGAAGTCCAGTCCTTCCACTTGCATAAAACCCTTCACCACGTATCTGGCTTTAAACCGCTCCACTTGTCCCATTGCATCTCTCTTCACAGCAAGCACCCAGCGTCCAGGAATGACCTTGCGAGAATTTGGTCTATCAACAAGTGTCCAGGTGCCCATTGCCTTCAGTGACTGCACCTCCAAAGCCATAGCTGCTAGCCACTGCTCCCTTTCTGGTCCAGATACTGCTTCCAAGTAGCTTCTTGGCTCTTGTGCTATCACTGAAGCATGAGTGTAAGCCAGTCCGTATCGGATGGGAGGGTTCCGCGTTCTAGTTGACCGCTGCTCTGGAATCTCTGTTGGCCTCTGCTCTGGAGGCTCTGTGGAAGGTGGTTCCAATTCTTCAGTCTCGACTGGGTCATCTTCCGTAACCCCCACTGAAGCTGCTGCTCCACTATCATTCGCTTTATTGGTAGACTCAGTGATGGTCTTCGTGCTAGTTTCCTCTACATCAATGCATCCCTCGATTGATAGACCCAGTGTTTGTGACTGCTCACTGTCTACCAGAAAGTCGTCTGGAATGATGTCTTCATTGAACGTCACGCTTCTTGCTCGTACCACTCGCTTTGTCTCCAGGTCCATCAGCAAGTAGGCTTTGCTCTCCTCGTCATAACCAATGAACTTGCTCTTCTTGCCTTTCGGATCCAGTTTCCGCCGGTTTCCTCTGTCCAGGTAGTACGCCAGGCATCCGAACACTCGCAGGTAGTTGACTTTCGATGGCTTCCCATAATGCATCTCCATTGATGAAATGCGATGCTCATTGCTGGATGTAGGACACAAGTTGCGAACCCTGACTGCCGTTGACATTGCTCGTACCCAGAACATCTTTGAGAGCTTTGCATCGGCCAGTAGACATCGAGTCATCTCAGTTATCACCCTGTTGTACCTCTCTGCCACGCCATTCTGTTGCGGAGTATTAGGTACTGTAAACTCCTGTTTCACCTGCATTTCTCTACAGAACATCCGAAAAGCATTCGACGAATACTCACCTCCGTTGTCAGTTCTCAAGCACTTCGGTGTTCCGTGCTCAGCTACAAAGTCTTTGAACTTCGAAAGAGTATCGCTCTTCTTAACCAGGTACTTGACCACTGCCAGACGGCTGAAGTCATCAATGAAGCTCACGGCATAGCGCGCTCCATGCATGCTCGCAACTTCAAATGGTCCCTGGATGTCGCTGAAGACCCGCTGCCCCACTGCAGTTGCCCTGTTCTCTGTCTTCTTTGGCATTGCTACTTCGTGCATCTTCGAAGCTGTGCACACTTCGCAGAACCCTAGCTCGCCGACATCAACAACTGATATTAGATCATGCTTGTTGAGATGCCCCAGCCTTCGGTGCCACAGCATTGCACTACTTGTCTCCATCTTCGCTTTCGTAGCTAGAGTCATCGCGTTCCTCTTGAACTTGCACTCCAGGAAGAAAAGCTTGCCGCGCTGCTTCACTGGTAGCCGTCGACCATCCGGTGCCACAAGATGAGAAGAGTCTGATGTAAAGCTGAAACTAGACCCTCTAGCTATTGCTGAGCTCACACTCATCAGATTCACGTTGTAGCTCGGCACAAACAGCACATTGTGGAAAGTGTAGCTCCTCGTCACATCTTGACAGTCTCGTATGTCCACTTCCACCGAGCCTATGCCCTCAATCTTTGATATTGTACCGTTCGGATTCTCAACTGTTGTCCCCTCATCCCATTTCTCAAAGCTTGAGAAGACAGCCTTGTCGCGCACTACATGATCGGTGCATCCCGTATCCACAATGAGATCATCTCCCTTCATTGAGGTTGTTGCACAACAACTGAAGAACCCTGTCTTTGCCTGCTTGCAGTCCCTTGCAAAGTGTCCTTGTTGTCCACACTTGAAGCACCCTTGCTTCCTTGAAGTTGGACCACTTGCTTCATTCGAGCCACTGCCTCGAGCACCAGATTGACCACTGTCACTTCTGGATCTGCAATCTCTTGCCAAATGACCCTTCTGACCGCACACAAAACAGCCACCACCCGACGCTCCTTTCTTCTTCCTCACAGCTTGCATAGCTATGTGTCCATTCCCAGTCTTCTCTCCACATCGAGCTCGTCTCGAGTCATCATAGTTCCTCAACCTCGTTCTCAGCTCTGTAAAAGTCTTGGCCGGCTGGAAGCTCTCCTGCACCACGAAATGCTCAAAGCTGTCAGGCAGTCCGTTGATCACGAGCGCATTGAAGAGTGTGTCCGTAATTGCTTCCCCAGCTTCACTCAGCCGCGTCATCAGCTCTTGACTTCGAACGAAGTAGTCATCGAGATCCTCCTCTGATCCTAGGCGCAGCTTCGCAAGCTGGCCTACTAGACTGACCACTGTAGGCCTCTCCACACTGCAAAACTTCTCTTGCAGCAGTCTCCAGGCCTTCGTCCCATCGCCATAGCCCTGCGCAGCCACGCAGTCGTTTTTGATGTACATCAGTGTGGTGTTGTTCAGGACCAGAGCTAGATGTGACCACACTGTGTTTCGGTTGTCTTTCCTCTGCTGGATCAGCACAGCTCGCTCCTGCATCTTGGTGTTGTACGCCGTCATCTGGTCAGCATTCGGATTCTCAGGTAGCGTAGGTTCAGCTTCTGGTAGATCGTCATTGCCCATCACAGTCCTGAACAGGCCTTTGGTATGCACCAGTGCCACAAACTTCGTCGACCAAGCTGGAAAATCTTCAGACTTTCCACTGAATCCAGCCAGTTTCAAGTCCATCTCTGCTTTGCTAAAGGCTAGATAAAAGCTAAAAAAAACTCTGACAGAAATCAAATAATTATTAAATCAAAAAGTTTAGAAATCTGGGCCCATAACCTGTTAAGATTCAGAGTTAGAGCAAGTAGGACTAGGGGATAGAGGTTTGAGAGTTATCTGAGGTTTCAACTGAGGAGAGAGAAGAGATACTGATTGTTGAAGAATGAATTGAGATTGTGTTTTTAAAATGACACGACAAACTGAGCATCAAATAGTACCAGTTACCAGTTAATTAATTAGTTTATCAAATACCAGCAGACCAGTTGACCTTGTCTGAGTGCATTGAGTTTTATACCAGTTGACCTTTAATTAGGTTTCTATTGCTCAAGTCTGACCTTGAGTTTGGTCTGGTATTTCACTAGTCTGGCATTGAGCTCGTCTGTCCTCAACACGATACAGCACAGTCCGAAAAACAGTCCCAAGTAAATATTGTTTTATTAAGCCGGTAGGCCGAGAATTGTCCTTTGTATAACAAACATAAAAAAACAAAATAGTGACCGCCCCACTCGCGCAAACTTGTTGCGAGATTGCCAACAGAGAGTAGGACTTCATGTGAAATTTAGAGCCAATTATCGCCGCGAAGTGCCAACACCCTCGCAGTGCGCCCACCGGCGTTCTTAAA